ATTAAGTACATGGTGTTAGAACTAGGTTGCCATCTAGAAAAAATTAATTTGGGTTTCTACCTCATTCCTTATACCAAAATCAGTTCTAGACACATCAAAGATTGAAATATATAAAACAGACCCATAGAAGTACCTAAGAAAAAAGGGAAAATTTTTTTCATAAGATTAATAAACAGTATGACAAAAAGTATATTTATATACATATACCCATATGGTATTAAAACATAAATGACAAACTAGGAAATCGTTTCCAGTGTTGGACAGATAGAAAACTAATTTTCTTTACATATAGTTTATGTAAATTAGTAAAGAAAAGATTAACAACCTGTCATAAATGGGAATAGCGATTTAAAGACAGAGTCTCACTTTATCACCCTTGGTAGAGTGCTGTGGCATCACAGCTCACAGCAACCTCCAACTCCTGGGCTTAGGTGATTATCTTGCCTCAGCCTCCCGAGTAGCTGGGACTACAGGTACCCGCCACAACACCAGGCTATTTTTTTGTTGCGATTTGGCCGGCCGGGTTTGAACCCACCACCCTCGGTATATGGGGCTGTTGTCCTACCCACTAAGCCATAGGTGCTACCCTAGCTTTTCTATTTTTATTTTTATTTTTGAGACAGAATCTCACTTTGCCACCCTGGGTAGAGTACCTTTGTGTCATCATAGCTCACAGTAACCTCAAACTCTTGAGCTCAAGTGATCCTCTTGCTTCAGTCTCCCAAGTAGCTGGGACTACAGGCGCCCACCACAACACCCAGCTAGTTGTTCTATTTTCAGAAACAAGGTCTCACTCTTGGGCTGGTCTCGAATTCATGAGCTCAAGTGATCCACCCACCTCAGCCTTTCTGAGTGCTGGGATTACAGTATTGATCCACAATGCTCAATCAGAAGGAGCAGTGACTTTTATGACCTGCTTTAGGAAGTCACACTCCGTCACTTCTCCTGTGTTCTCTTGGTCGCATTGACCAATTCTGATCAATGTAGGATAGATTTATACTAGGATGTGAATAACAAGAGGCTGGTATCTTAAATAGGCTGGTTACTCCACAGGATTTATTTGTAACTAGACAAATTGATTTTAAACTTCATATGGAAAATTGAACAAGAAGAACGGCCAGGGCAAAGGACCTCTAAGAAAGGGAGTTGTGCAACTAGTTATCAAAACAACATGAATCTGTATTATCACATACAA